ATTTTTTGAAATTTTTGGGCAAATCCAATACGGTTGCCCGTCACCCTAGGGTGGGGCCTCCGTAAAAAGTTTTTGTTTTTTTATTTTCCACTGTTGTGCTTTAGTTTTGCGTTTAATTAAAAGCTATTAAACAATTACTGCTTTTTATTTTTTATTCCATGGGATTGAACTTTTCAAGTAAAATTGCAACATTGATTTTTGTTAGAATCTTTTTTTTGTATTCAAAGCTGAAACAGTTACAAAAATCCTTCTCAAACAGTTTTTTATTCACTCCCAGCACAGAAAATACTTTTCATTAAACTGCACTCAAAAAAACTTTTTATTTCTGTTGTGAGAAGAGCAAGAAAACAAGAATCGAAAATTTATACACAACTGAAACATGGCTTTAGCTTCAAAAGCGATAAAAAATAGAACAGTCAGTCTAGTGGGATATTTTTCTCTCTTTGTGTTCAGAAGAAATTAGAAGTGTTCTGTTAGATTCCACAAAGAATATTTTTTTCTACTGTGAATCACTTGTTTTCACACAATTTACGCTCTGTTTACTGTTTACATCAAAATGATTTTAGGACAACATTCTCATGGGGAGAACACAAGTCGATGAACTTTGAAATGCTAACAAACATCGAGCTGGATCATATGATGTAGGTTAATCTTTGGGGATAAACAAAAAAAAATTTAGCGTTGCTGAATGTTTCAGAGTTCAAAAGAATCCAAAGAAGAAATGATACATCAACAGCATCATTGACAAGTGATACAGATTTTGTTTGATAATAACATGAAGATGGTGTGATGAGATTAATGGAAGAATTGACTTTTGGTCAATATAATTGGTTCAGTCGAAAATCATTTTCCCCAACTCATTTATTCGTTCTAGTTGGTTAGATAGCATACAAAAACATTTCTATGTCGATTATTCCATACTCCCAAAATCAACAGTTAAAAGATCGACAGTAAAAAAAGGTTGTTAATTAAATAGCGTTATAACATTTAGCATCATATACGCTTCCAGCAAGACGATGATGATGATGATTCGATGGTTTTTCAACTTTTTGCATTGTTCAAAACAACAAAATACGATAGTTTCGCTAACATGACAAGGGAATTTCTAATGCTTTGAGGGTTGAGAACAGCAATTACATGCAGCAATACACATCAAGCATAAACATATTGATATATGATTTGATATCAATATTTGTTTGAAACATCCTCATGAAATGAAGTAATTTTTGTTTGATGTGCTATATTATTGTAGGAGGATTGAATCTATTGAGATATATTTAATTTATAATAACATAAAATGTCTACCTTTTATGTTGAGAATTTCATATTGAAACGACTGATGAAAAATACAATATCAAATTATAATTAGAATAACTGTTTGTAAAAAAATGTTTCTGAGAAATTAATATTAAATCTTCTGCATTCCAATTCTCCTCTAATTCAATTAATTTATAATTACTTGCAGTAATTATTTGGGTACTCAGAACATCTAGATAATTATAAAATAATGAGGAAAAAAAGAAATAAATAATCCAAGAACTTTTATTTTTTTAATTCTTGAGATAAATTAAGATGTAGAGTTTACTTTCAGTTTATTTTTAAAAAAGTTTCACAAAGAAAAAGTTTTCTAAAGAAATAAAAAACATGAAACTAAAGTACACAACACGAAGTGTTATAAACTGAAGTTCTTTTAAGAGAGAAATAATGTCACAGATGATTATATTACGGCATAGTGCGACGCTAAGGAGTTGAGTTTATTATCATCACCGTACATTTTATTTTTTTACTGCTGAGGATATCTCCAGTGGATGCTAAGTTATATTTGAATTAATTATTAAGTTTTTTTTTTTATTTAGATCTGAAAGAAAGGTAAATGATGAGACTAAGAGCATGGCATGAAATTCCTTTCAACAACAGAACTACATAATAATAAACGTTCTGAGATGCTTTCAAAGATCTTTCATGAAGCTTCTGCTTCATTGCACAATGTAGAAATTCTTTAAATATTTATGAAGAAGAAACATTTTTGATATGAAAACAAAATAGTCAGCTGGAAACCATTTTGATTTGAATTTTTTTTCCTAAAATTTCTACCCTTCTGAAAACTTTGTTACTAAATCTTCAGTTCAAAACGTAGGAAAATTTAAATATAGATGGATATGTTAATAAATATGCAGAATTTAAAATATTACATTACATACTCTGAAATATGTGCTGCGAATAACAAACAAAAAATGTCCCGACAGCAAAATATCAAAGTACAAAGTCAACTCTTTTTTTTTCTTAAATTTATTGATTTTATTTAGTTACGCGACACTTGAACTTCATAAACATTCTCTTAAAAAAGTTGAATGTGTTTTTAAAAATCTCAAAAGATTTAAAAATGTTTTTATTTGTGTTAAAGTTTTCAAGTGATTTCTCATGAATTTTATATTTATGGATGATTGCAGCTTCGATGGGATTTACTTAAATGTCAGTATAAGGTGTCAGTTTTAATAACCATAATGGACATTGCCTTGTGAATTCATCACAATTGTTTGACGTCCAATATGAATCCTTTCGATCATCGGTTGCTGTTAATCTGTCATCTGTGCTAGGTTGTCTACGGTTATGAGATTAAATTTGATTGAAGAGGAAAAGAATGAAAAACCTTATAGTCATTTTTAACTTCATGAAAAATGTTCAAAGAATTATAAAGTAATGGGAGAAATAAGAACATTTCTCATCGTTCTAGATTAACCGGCTGATGGACGAGATTTACAAGAGATTTAGGTTCATTAAAAAGCTATTGCTTATGACGGCAAAAGAAATATTCACAAGAATATGACATGGAGAAGATTTTACTTTGTTTTGAATTTGTTTTGATTACACAAAGAAGATTTTGTCTTACAAGCAATAAATTATTCACAAGAAGGAGATGAACCTGTCTGGCTGAACATCAGTTGAACTGCTGATGCTTATTTAGGTACTTTAATTACAATATCAGTCAACAAGCTCTTTTTCTTTGTTCTCCTTTGAAACTTTGGACACGTGGAAGGCATGAGAACAACTTGCCTTTCCACTTTCCACACTTTTCGTTTGTTTTTCTTCTTCTCTTCATTATTATCTTCTTTTATTTATTTCTACCTAATGCGAGGCCAGGCTGAGAAAACAAAGATGAAAAAGATGAAGACTTGCCACTTTTAACGGCTCATCGTTCGTCGTGGAGATTGATTCATGGATGGAGGTGAATGATGAAGTGAATTTTAATTAAAAGGAATAATTTTCACTGTAGAAAATGTTTCCGGAAGCTCTTGCCTCTACCTCCCTATAATCAAGCTTTTTTGCACAAAATTTCATGATAATGAAAGTTTTTCTTTCGTTTTGCTTTCAGGCAAATAAGAGAATGAAAAAAAATCCGTGTTAAAAGGAAAAAGAAATGAAAAGGGTTGAAGGGCCTGTCCAAACAACTTGAGCCTTATCTCAAGGCACTTTAATTGAATTTTCTCTATGTTTTTTTTTACAGTTCATCCTTGCGGTTTAGTTAAAGTTCTTTTAGAATAATTGCTTTTAAAATGTACTTACGTAAAAATTAATTTAAACAGCTTAAAAAGCATTCCGCTTTTTTGTGTAAGTTCTTTTGAAGCATCACAGAATGTCTTTAATATGCAGGCTGTTCCGTTGAAGCCGTGCCTGTGGAGAAAAATAGAGCATAAAAATTGTTCCGAATGGTGCTGTATATATCAAGAACGTGCACCAACTGGTTAATCAATTCTTTGAGCGTTTCATATACTTCGCTTCGCCGAAGACTACGCTTAGGACGCTGTGGCTGAAGAAGATCGATATTAGCACGAAAGCCAAAACCATGAGCCCAAATTTCGTTGATTCTTATGACATTATCCTTAGTGTTGACACGAAACTGGATTATACAAAACACAAAACTTTATGTAATGCATTAATGTGATAAATTTCGCGGAAAATTGTTTGCCTACGAAAAGTCTTGTTCCCGGTTGAAAAATGAGATAACGCTTCATTCGACTTCGTGCGACTGTCGAGCTATTTGAGTGAAGTTCATCATTTGAAGTTGAGTGAACGCGCACAGGAATATTAATCACGAATAATATCGAAAACAACACTAAAATTCTTCTCCACAATTTTGTCATGCTTTTCCTATCTCAAACTTAAAAAAAAGAAAAATTCAACACGTTTGACTTGTATCTCCAAACCTCTCAACAACGAATGATTGCTTCTGATCTTAGTTGCGTGAGAACATTTTCCCCACTTTCATTTCATGAATTTTTTATTCTTCGTTTTACTTGTGTACAAAAGTTGATAAATACGATTTTTTGTCATATTGCATCGATTAGATTTAGCGTTCATTATGTAATATAAAACATTTAAAATAATTAAACTTTTATTGTGATTGCATCACCAATATTGTCAGTGAAAATAGAAGAAATTTTCGCATTTAGGGTGTCAAACGCATGTATACGTTGATAAAAGCATGCATGCAAGCATAAATTTGAAAATATTTAGTTTGATCTTTTAGTTCTATGTAGCGTTAAAATCAGTGAAGCGTTTCTCTCTTTATCATTCCACAGCGCCATCTCATGTAGCTTGTGTATACACAAAAACATAGATGGCGCTGTTCACATAGCAATTTCAATCTAAAATAAATTGAAAAATATACAAATTACAAATAGTGACTCATAAAACCTTATATCAATCTTAAATTAATATTAGAGATACCTTTACACATCAAAATAATTGTAAAGGGAGAAGTGACTAATTAAAATAAACTTAAGCTTGTACATTTATCAGAGTAAAACTAACTAAGTGTAAGCGAAGTCTCAGGGAGATGACGAATTTTATTTGGTTTTCGAAGTCGCTCTCATTCAATTACTGGTGCACCATGTGCTACATCTTATCGCTGCCTGTTAGTTCATTTCATTTTTCATCCAAGGACAACAAGTATAGCGCCAAAGAAGCTTGGACGAGTCTATGCACAATCCAATACAATTTATTGTTCGAATAAAGAGCTGAACACTTAAAGCAGTGAAGAATACATTGGATGGAAATAAGACTTGTTTAAAACTTTACTCAATTGAGTTGAGTCGACACGCTTTGCAGAGTTTAGTAAAAGTTTTCGATTTGGTGAACGGTTTGCTTTTTCATATACGTTCACTTTCATGGGCGCCTCTTCCTAAGTAGCAAGAAGACTGAACAAGAAAAAAACGAAAGTGAAAAAATAGACTCTTCGTGGATGGGGCGCGATTTTTACGAATGATTTCAATAGTATTCTTTCTCTTCGGAATCTTTCAGATTTCTGGCATATTGTTAAGTCGCAATCCGTAACTTGAAACAGAGAGCAGCCGCTGAAATGTTCTTGAAACCCGGTATCACTGAAGTTCTTAACGTTCTCAAGGATCTTTCTTTTCTTTTCCCCCTCTGTTAAATGCTGCGAATAATGCGCGAGCGTCGTAGAACACAAATGGAAAAAATAGAATTTCACCCTGAGAAATCCTTGGTCTCAATGCCATCATCTCAATGTCACAATTGTTTGGATCATTCCCTTGACATTGTTTTTTCCCTCTCTGATAAAACTTCGATGAACAGAATGGTCTACTGTCTGTGCTTTATACGCGCGTCGACGCTTCAAAAAATCTTCTCGTTTATGCGCACAATGAAGGAAATACCAGAATAACACCGGGAAGAAGTTTCTTCTGATTTCCAAACAAATGAGTTAAATGACGTGATCTCTTAATTTCAATCCATGTGCTGCAAAACATGTTCGCCTGGTATTCAAAAAACATCAAGCCGCGAATTATTCCAAATGTACTACACTTAAAGTGGAAAACTTTTCGCTGTGAACGGAGTTCGCCGCAGCCGTAAAATTTAGACGCTCCGCGGCAGAACCGCAAGAAACTTTCGTTTAAGGTTGGGAAAATTCATCGAGAAAAATGAAAAAACTTACAGCAATCGATTAGGAGATCATGTTGTCAATATTACTTGCTAAATGCACTTGAAAAAGTAATAAAGCTCATTGCAAGCTAGTAGCAATTGCACATAAATGCAGTTAAGTCTGTCATGTAAAATCGATTGAAGTTTGCGATTTCGATGTAAATGTTTTTGTTGATGTCACAAGTTTATTATTTCTCTCCGTTCGGTTTAAAAGCAATATTTTTTCAAATCTGAGTCTCATTTACTCTTGCCTTATGGACATCAAACTCAACTAAAACGAGAAAGTGAGAAAACATCGTGCAGCGATTTCATTTTTTCCCACGAGAAGAACGGCGTTTCTATAAGTCTGTTTTCAGCGAAATGCTTATATGAGAAAATATTTTGAAAACAAACTGTTTTTCGTCCGGTTAGTAACGGGCGGGCAGAAATGATAGCAGCCAATGCTCGCATATGCTTTTCGACGGCAGTAAAGTGAAAGAAACAACAAACATGTGAATCTCATCGTCTGTTATTCTTTTTCATTTTTTCTCGTCTTCGCTGGCTCGTATCTTCGTATTGGTCATCACTTATGATCACTTAATACTGAAAAATTAAATATAGTGGTTTTTTTCTTGAATTAAAATTTTAATTTTGCAGCTATAAGAAATTTATTTCACTAACCAATGTACCATAAGCATATGCACATGTCGAATATTTCTTCCAATGCAAAGTTCGATCTTCGCCTAAGTTTTCAATATCGCGAAATATTCAATGACCGATCGACTTGAATGATCTAAATCAAAATGCATTTTATCTAATATTTTATTCTTTTTATTTGACTTTTTCTTTCTTTACATTTAGCAACATTTTAATTTGAGAATAAACATTTTAATGCAATATTTAAGCCATTTTAACTTCATAAATATTTTAAAGTTTGTTTTTTTTTCACTTTAACATCAAAGCTAAGAAGAAAGTTAGAATTCTAAAAATTTGAGAAAGTTCATTTATTTATTAAAGACAGAAAAGGGAGAAATTTTCATGCATAGATAATTTTGTAAGAAAACATTCTCCAGAAAATCTTTAAAATATGTCGTCACAGAATTTTGTTTTGATTTAGATAATTTTCCATTTTCCATTTCCTCACCGTAATCATAAGTTTTACTTTCATGAGACTCATATTTCAAAGAAAATCTGCAGATTTCCTCACATAGAAGTTTGATTACTAAACATTCATAAATTGGCAATAGAAACTGAAATTCTTTAATAATTTTTCTTATTTAATTTCATCAAAAAAATTTACTGCTAATGATTTGATTATTAATTTATCAATTTCTTTTGAACGTGTTATTTGATGAGACTAAATGCATGTAAGCATTCATCATTAAGCATTTTTGTCTTTTATTTTCTTTCGTCATTTACTTACTGACTTGTGGCATTCCCAATGACTTCCACTGAAAGGCAAATCTCTTATTTAATGTTCGGATTTATCATCATTTAGCACCTATCACAATCCCTACGTAGCAAATCCATTCGCATGCCTTCGTTTTAGCTTTATATTTAAATTTTACATTGGGAGTTGATACATGTAAAGCAGATTTCTTAGGAATTTATTGGAAAAATATTATTTTTTTGTCAATTCATTTCATTTTCTTTCCTTTTAAAAGCTCCTGATCTCATCACGTATTTAAAAAATTTTAATGACAATCGCGTCCATTTTTTCGAAAAGGGAAAACTTAAAAAATTTATTCCTATTAAACTAACTAAAGGCCATCATCTTATTTATTGTTTTCACTTGATTTCCTATTTTGTAATTTTATTAAACATTGCAACAAAGATCAAATGAAAAATGATTTCTTTTTGTCTATCTATCAACAAACTTAAATTATTTTTATGATTGATAATAAGCTATTAAAACCAGAAATAAAATTCTATTCCTCGACATCGTACAAATTTATTAAAAACAGTACAAAACTCTTCACTTTTCTTTTGGCTACAAAATTATTAAAGTTTTAGTTGACAAACTTTTTCTGCAATTTATGGAGACCTCGACCCAGTTTATTGGGCGTCTGTATTCAATTTCATTGAAAATTCTATCACAAGAATTTAATATTCTATACCCATTCTCATTTAAATATAAAAATGCTCATTCGAAGACCCTTCTAACATCATATTGTGCATTCAGAAGTTAATTGTTATCTAAAGTTTATTGCGTAATGTTCTTTTCTACTTTTCATGTAGGAAAGCTGATTTTTCTTTTCACTTTTTTTCCCTTCCTGGTGGTTATTAAATTTTAAAAAATATGAGATATTTGAAATATTCTGATCAATTATTAATTTCTTTTTTATATTCTCAATTCATCTAAAATTTTGTTGATTCATATATAACATGTAACATTTATCTCATTGGATATAATTTCTTTGCATAAATTTAATGAATTATATTTGAGGAACCAATTTAAAACTTTATTTTTGTGTTTTCAATAAATTTTGAATTTTCTTCTTTTTTTTTTGTTGTTTAAGATTACCAAATGGTCAATAATGATTTTACTAGAAACTCTTAAATTCGTGCTCTTTTATTTTGAATTAGATAATTATTCAAACAAACATATAAATAGCCAAAAATGTGATGATTTATTATAAGCAAACTTCGTGACAGTCAGCATGTCAAAGTGAAGTTTAACTATTACAATATTTTTTTTTATTTTTCCAAATAGATATAAAAATGAACAAATGCAAAATTGATAGATAAAGCAGAATGTTTTGAGTAATTTTAATTCATTAGAAATTTTCTTCACTTCATCTCCTTATCGACTACCTGCTATCAATTCTATGAAACGAAATGAAATACTTTTACATTTCTTTCCAACATAACACATTATGAAATTATTTTCATCATTTTAAGAAACAGGTTCGTCTACTAAGCTCGGTTATCATAATTCTAAAAATTGATAAAGGTACCTGAAAAACATTCTCCTGGATATTCTACTTAGCATTTCAATTAAGGTTCGTCTAATTTTAATTTTTGGAATTACTTTTAAATAATATTGACTAGTCAATCATTTCTTACTCATTGGAAATAGGATTAAAGAAAATTGGAAATTGTACGAAAATGCCCGTCGCCTAGAACTCCAAACGATAAGCAGAACAAGAAGTTTCATGATCCTGCAAATTAATGGTGCAACGCGCAGCTGATGGTGATAAATCGATGTGATATTTAGCCAAGAGTTCTTCGTTTTCTGACACCCAGTAACCAAGAACATCTGTGTCGTAAGTCGGAATGATTGTGACTTCTACAACATTGTGAAAATTAATTATCTCAACATTAGAGACAGAATATTAAATCATAATAAATTACCAAGACTTTGATCTTCCCATGTTTGTTTGGCTTCAAGTAAAGCATTATAAACCTCCTTGCTTGGTTCAGTGCCAGAGAAAACATAATATCTTGCACGAATTTTCTTGAAAAATTCTACATGTGAGTAATGTAAATTGCCATGATGTGGAACGTAAGCTAAATCCATGTAAATTGGTGACAATTTCTTCCCAGCCATGGGACTATTTGAACGTTTCTGCAAATTCAATTTATTTTTATTGGCAAGGATTTTCCTTTCTCGCTTTGGAGTTGTGTTTGCGCCATTTTCCGGGAGTTGTGGTGCAGGTGATGGTAAACCTAGCGTGAATGAAAAGTTTATATTTTCAATTCGCAAAAGCAATATTTCATGACATACCTAATGGTTTTTCCCACAGTTTTTCATCTTGTTTTTCAGCAGATGATTCAACTGTTTCAGTTGTTGTTGAGCTTTCCACGACATCAGAGCTTGATGGTGTGCTTGATGATTGAACTGTTTGAGTTGTGACTGTTGTTATAGTTTTTGATTGAGTCTTGAAAACTTTCTCAAAATCTAAATCAGCTTCATCTAAAACCTTTATTGATCTTTTGGCTGCTTCTAAGTCACTACTAACATCAGGGCTTGATTCATACTCCACATACGTTCTTGTGACGGTTGTTGATGTTTTAATTGGAATTGGCACGGATTTTGCATTGTCTGATGTTGAAGACGCTGGCAGAGAACCGTAAAAGGAAGTGCTCATTGGATCGGATTGTAAAGTGGAGCTGACTAATATCGATGATTTGACTTCTTCATATTGAGGGGGAATTTCGTCTTCGTCTCCTAAAATTATTGAGAAAATTTAATTAAAAGTTAATAATTTTAATTTACGATCTCAACTCACCTTCATAAATGAAATGCTGTTCCCCAGAAATATTATCATTTGGCTCTTCATTTTTAAATGATGTTGACAATTGGCTATGATAGGAATCCATTGCTGCTTGAGGTGATTCTTTCAAAGCCAAAATATCTTTCGAAATGTCTTTATCAGATTTGAATGTATAATCTTGTGTGTGAACTTTCGATGTGAATGTTTTGACTTCTTTTTCAGTAGAAGTTGTTTTTGATGATTCCACAAACTTTTCAGTGGTATCTGGTGTTGAAGTTCTTGTCATATCAGGAGTGCTAATACCTGATGATGTCTTATGATCATCCTCAGATTTCAAAGCATCAATTGTCTTTGGGAATGGAGATGTCGGTTTCGGAGACGAATCAGGCGTCTCTTCAACAATTGATCCCTGACCAAAAGCAATTGACTTTGAAGCTGCACTATCGGGACTTGATTTACCAGAATGAATTGAACCTTTTGGTGTTGAAATACCAGACACTTTTCCTACAGTTTCTGTGACTTTTTGAACCTTCTCAATGATAAGATTCGGACTAGATGGAATCGTTGGAGGTGTTGTCTTGCCCTCCAAACTCTCTGAACTTTGTAATGTTTCAGTAATAATAAATTGTTGTGTCGTGATGACATGTGTTGAAGTAGTCGTAAAATTTCCTTCTTCAGTGGTAAAATGTTCATGAATTGGGAAGCTTGTAGAAGTCACCTTTAATTCTTGATCTGAAAGCAGTGGGAAACTTGATGTTGATATAATTTCCATTTCTGAATGTTCTTCTGTATGCAATGGAATTCCAGCAGCTTTCACACTCTTTTGTGATAAAGTTTCTTCTGAAGATTTAGATGAAAAATTTATTTCGTCTTTTGATGATGACAAAAATTCTTCGATTGCTGATAATTTTCCAAAATCTTCAATACGACTTGATGTTGAACCTATAGATGACACAGATTTGGATCTCGACTCTTTAATAAATATTTTTTCTTCAGAGTCTTCAAATGTTTTACTTGTTTGCATTGATACCAAACTATCGTCAAACGATTTTTGTGATTCCTTTCTTGATTCGAAAAGTTTTTCTGCCTTTGAAACAGATTCACGTCGATCTTCACTTTCTTCTACATTTGTTGAATCGAGATTTGATGGTTCTTCAAAATGACTATCCCATTCAGTAGCACTTAACGGGGTTTCAGGTCTCGAAAAGTTTTCTTTTCTATCTGAAGCATTTGACGCCAAAGAAATAGAAGATTTTCTTCTTATATCTGTGTCAACAAATTCAGTATCCTTTTCAGATGAGCAAACAACATCATTTGACACACTTAATGGTGAATCTGGCCTTTCAAAACTTTTCATTTCAACAAACTTTGAAACTCCTTGACTTCCAATACTCGGTGGAGATTCTGGTCGATTCAAATCATCATAAACAAAGGATTTATCAGACGCTACTGAGACAGAAGATTTTCTTCGAATCTCAAACTCATGTTTTGGTGGAGTTGCATCTTGAATGTCAGAAACATTTTTATCACTACTTACACTGGAAGGCGACTCAGGACGGTCCAAATATTCAGCTAAATCTTTTATTGTGGAATCTTTAATTCTTTGAGCAAACATAACAGCTGAAGTGGTAGAATCAAACTTGTTATTCATATCAGAAGTTGAAACTTCCACATAGTGCGTAGACTCTTTTTTTATCATTTTTTCTACTTCGATTTCTCGTGTTACATTAGATTCGCATGGATTTGCTAAATCTGAAGATATTTTCACAGATGAGCATTTTTCAAATATAACACTTTCACCAGACAGAGCGTCCCTGATTTCTCCACCTTTCTTTTCGGAAGTTACTGAAGCAATTGATTCTCTACGATCATCAGCTTTCAGTGTCAATGATTGTTCATCAGCTTTTTCTGTAGCTGATTTCTCACTGATAGCACTTGCTTGAGATGCTGGTCGAGAAGCTTCTTTGCTTTCTTCACCTTTCTTCTCAGAAGTTACTGAATTAATTGATTCTTTACGATCATCAGCTTTCAGTTCCAATGGTTGTCCATCAGCTTTTTCTGTAGATGACTTTTCACTGATAGCACTTGCTTGAGATGCTGGTCGAGAAGCTTCTTTGCTTTCTTCACCTTTCTTCTCAGAAGTTACTGAAGCAATTGATTCTTTACGATCATCAGCTTTCAGTGTCAATGGTTGTTCATCAGCTTTCTCTGTAGCTGACTTCTCACTGATAGCACTTGCTTGAGATGCTGGTCGAGAAGCTTCTTTGCTTTCGTCACCTTTCTTCTCAGAAGTTACTGAAGCAATTGATTCCTTACGATCATCAGCTTTCAGTGTCAATGGTTGTTCATCAGCTTTTCCTGTAGCTGACTTCTCACTGATAGCACTTGCTTGAGATGCTGGTCGAGAAGCTTCTTTGCTTTCTTCACCTTTCTTCTCAGAAGTTACTGAAGCAATTGATTCTTTACGATCATCAGCTTTCAGCGCCAGTAGTTGTTCATCAGCTTTTTGTGTAGCTGACTTCTCACTGATAGCACTTGCTTGAGATGCTGGTCGAGAAGTTTCTTTGCTTTCTTCACCTTTCTTCTCAGAAGTTACTGAAGCAATTGATTCTTTACGATCATCAGCTTTCAGTGTCAATGGTTGTTCATCAGCTTTTTCTGTAGCTGACTTCTCACTGACAGCACTTGCTTGAGATGCTGGTCGAGAAGTTTCCTTACTCTCTTCACCTTTCTTCTCAGAAGTTACTGAAGCAATTGATTCTTTGCGATCATCAGCTTTCACAGTTAGTGACTGTTCATCAGCTTTTTCTGTAGCTGACTTCTCACTGATAGCACTTGCTTGAGATGCTGGTCGAGAAGCTTCTTTGCTTTCTTCACCTTTCTTCTCAGAAGTTACTGAAGCAATTGATTG